TAACTAGTAGTTGGTAGCAGACATTTTTCATTAAAATGTTTTATTAGTTTTTAGATTCTGTGAAGCACCTTAATTTTTCTTCCATAATGGCAAACTATCAATTCTTTTTTTTTTTAAAGATTTTATTTATTTATTTGACAGAGAGAGAGATAGCGAGAGCAGGAACACAAGCAGGGGGAGTGGGAGAGGGAGAAGCAGGCTTCCCGCTGAACAGGGAGCCCGACGCGGGGCTCGATCCCACGACCCTGAGATCACGACCTGAGCCGAAGGCAGACGCTTAACGACTGAGCCACCCAGGCACCCCAAACTATCAATTCTTAAGGATAATGATCTTCTAGTAAAAATAATAGTGGAGGGGGCGGGGGAGGGGCGCCTGGCTGGCTTAGCTGGTTAAGCGTCAGACTCTAAAAAAAAAAAAAAAAAAAAAAAAGCGTCAGACTCTTGATATCAGCTCAGGTCTTGATCTCAGGGTCCTGAGTTCAAGGCCCACACTTAAAAATTAAATTAAATTAAATTAAATAATAGTGGAAAACAGCACTGGGGCAAAATGTTTGCAAAAGAATTTTGCCAATTTTTAAAACTACAATTACTTAAAAACTCCACTTTTTAACTTAATAAAATCTGTTGAATTGGTCAAAAACATGTATGCAAACCATTATGGTTGTCAGTTAAAGACTAAGCCATGAGTATCTTAGAACAATTCAGAAAAACAGAATCATGGGTATTAAGGAGAGGGTAAAATGTGAAGTGAAAGTGGAAACTCTAGTTTTCATAAGTGCTATTATAAGTAACCTTGTGACTTTAATGGCTTTAATTAGGTGGAACATCACAGAATATGGATCCCTATTCAGTTAGACACAGGGAGACAGACTGGGAAACTTCCCTTCCTCTGTTCTAATAGGGACAATATCTGAAAGTGTTTGCCTATTGCTAAAGTTCTAAACAGCTCTGATAAAATACAGGACTTAAATGAAGAAATAGAACACATTTCCCCACTGAATGAAGAGTTATTTTTAAATTTTAAATTATGTGTATGTGTGTGCATGTGCATGTGTGTATGTATGTTTGCATGTACGCATCAGAGTGTTTGATGAACACTGAGCAAGAGTATTGCTATCAAATGTTATTTTGATGAAAATAGAAACATGAGAGGAAGTCATAAAAAAAGGGATTTTAGGAAAAAAAAGATGAGAAAAATAAAAGTAGAGAGAAAGGCAAGAGAAAAATAGAGAAGAGAAAGAGAGAAACAAAAAGGTATATATACTGTGGAGGAATGAGGGTGGAGAGAGGTAAAAAGGAATGTAAAAGGAAAAAAAATAAAGAAATGTTGGTTTATTATCGGAGAATTTCACAAAGTACAACTTTTAGAAATTTGCAGCTTAATAAGTAGCAGAATATCAGAAGTTTACTAATAATGCCTGCATTTATCCATTAAAATAGGTAGAAACATGAGAAATTGTATGTGTGTTTATAATTACTGTAATGAAATAGCCATTTGGCCTTTAACAAACATATAACTCACTCACTATAAAACCCACACTGGTTTTAATATAGAAAATCACATTTTCATTATCCAGACTCCAAAGGTGTCAGAAAACTCATTTAAAATAATCTGAATATAAAATAACTGTATTTGCATAGAAAAATGAAAATAGACCCAAAACAAAAGCCATATGTACCACAACATCATTTAATTTAGAAATAGAAGGGCTTTAAGATATTTTCCAATAATGTACTCTAAAAATTTAGTTCTACCTTGCACATGTCTAAATCTTAACTTTTAAGTCTAAGAAGAAAGTAAAATTCAAGGTCAGACATTTGAAGCTTTTTAGGTCTCAGCAGAGTAATTAAATATGAATATTTATAACTCTTGAAAACTTTATCCTCTTCCATACAAACTAATCATACAAACTAATGTTTTCCCTTCAAACTCAACTTGAATGCAGTAACCTTTACTTTTAAAACATGTAATTTGTTTATTATTTTTTTAAAAGTACCTGGAATTTGTAGGTCGTTACATAAAAGTTCCAAAATAAACACCTTAAAAACTTTAGAATATGATGATCTTTTTAATCTATTTCAGTCAAGATACAAAGACAGAAGTTGGGGGATTTTTTAGTGATTATTTGCTCATGACAAGACAGATATGAACTATTTTATCAAACTGAGTCCACCCTCCTAGTTTGACTTCTTTGTTTTACTGTTATTTTGTTTGCTGAATATGAAAACTTAGATATTCTTTACTTTCCTTTGTACAGAAAACACAAAGAAATAAGCAAGTAATCACTTAAACAGACACACAAAGTGGATAAGTCTGCATGATATGAAGGGTTTCTTTGATTATTTGCCTCTATGTATTTCTCCAAAAGTACTCAGTAGATTGTAGTCAATTTATAAATGATATTGAAAATCAGAATTTTTGTCAACAGTAGTCAATAATAAACTACTCCTAAAGTATATCAGAATGTGTATTTATATGGTCTACAATTTGCTCATCCTATTATAAATCTAGAAAACAAATCATAAAAACAAGCGTCCATGAGGAAGACCAAAAGGAAGCACCTACTGAAACTGAGCCATATTGGCTGAAATTAGGTAAGTTCTTTATTTGTGGAAGTAGATTAATTTGATATGACCACTTACAAGTGCCTAAGAAAGTTGAGTTGAAAATGGATAGTAAAAGGAGTCAAAATAGATTTTTTTACTATTAAAATAGTAAAAATAGAAAATTTTAAAATATATAGAGCATTTGATAAAAGTCATCATCTATTAATGATAAAAATTCTCAGCAAAGTCAGAGTAGAAGGAAACTTCCTCAACTGTATATAGAGCATCTAAAATAAATAAAAAAAAAGTATAACTAACATCATGTTTACTAGTGAAAGACTGAAAGTTTTCACCCTTGGCTTTCACCACTTTTATTCACCATAGTACTAAAAGATCCAGTAAGTTCAAAAGGCAAGAAAAAGAAATAAAGGATAAATTAAAAAGGAAGGGGAAAATTTTCAGTTGTTCTATTCACACATAATATTGTTTAGGCAGAAAAAAAGAAGGAATCAAAACAAACAAGTCACAAACAAAACTTAGCACCAATAAATAAGCTAAAGTTGCCATAGTCAAGGTCATCACACAAAAATCAGTCATATTTCTATATTCTAGCAACGAACTATAGAAAACCAAAATTTCAAAAGCAATACATTTATCATAGTTCCCTTAGAATCAAATGCTTAGCAAATAAATATTCTCAAATAACAAGTACAGAATCTGTATCCTGAACATGACAAAAAATGATGAAATAAATCAAAGAACACCTAAATAGATGAAGAGATATATTGTGTTAGTGGAGTGGAAGACTCAACATGGTAAAGATGTCAATGTTCCTCAAATAATTTATACATGTAACATAGTAACATTCACATTTACAGCATGATTTTATGTAAATATAGACAAGATTCTAAAATTTATAACAAGAAGCAAAGTGACTGTAATAGACAAAATAGTTTTGAAAAAGAATAAAGTTGAAGGAATTACACTATCTATTTTGAGACTTACTATGAAGCTACGCTAATCAAGACAATGTAGTACTGTAGACAGAAAAGACACATAGATCAATAGAACAGAAGAGACTGCCCATAAGTAGCCCATAGAAATATGGCCAATTGATTTTTGACAAAGTTGCAAAGGCAATTCAATAGATAATTCAATAGAAATAAACCTTAACCTATACCTCACATTTATATATATACATATATATGTGTATATATACATATGTCAAAATGGATCACATGTCTAAATGTAAATGCAAAACTATAAAACTTTAGAGGGAAACTTAGCAGAAAATCTTTGCGACCTGACATTTGGCAGAGTTCTTAGACATGATCCCAAAAAAGCATAATCCATAGAATAAAAAAGACCCAAACTGACACAGCAATTTGGCATTTACCTTAAAGAAATGTAAATTAGACTCACATGAAAGATTTGTACATAAATATTTACAGGAGCTGTTTTTGTCAAAACTGGAGTCAGCTCAGATATCTTTCAATAGGTAAACAGATAGACTGTGGTGCATGCATGCAATGGAAAACTATTTAGCAATAAAAAAATGAACTAGTGATGTAATAACATGGATGAATCTCAAAAGCATTTTGGTTGAGTGAAAGAAGCCAGTCTCAAAAAATTGTATACAGGATGATTCCACTTATAAAACTTCTCAAAAAAGAAAATATCAAAAACTGTTATGACAAAGAACAGATCAATGGATGCCAAGGTTTAAAGTTGACTACAGATATAGCATAAAGAAGCTTTTTAGCGTGATAGAACTATTTAGTATCCTGATTATGGTGGTGGTTTCATGAAGTTTTATATATACATGATTAAAAATACATAGAACTCTACACTCAAAAAAGGGTTCATTACTATATGCTAATAAAAGGTAATTCCAAATTAAATCTAAAATGACATCTGCATGTCATATATACTGAAGATCCTTCCATCTCAAAGAAGATTATAAAACTACAAGCTCTTTTATTAAATAACTACAATAAAGAATGTTTCTGAACTTTGTCTTTTAAAATTACACAGAGCCAACTTTTAAAACCTATGTAGAAATTCCATATTCATTTGGACAGACTACAAATGGATTCAGATATAAAGATCTATTTAGCCACACTAGCAAACCCAAGCAACAGTTCTATAAGACATCCACCTTAATATGAATTATTTAGCTAAATTTTCATTTATTTCAAAGATGTTTTTCTTGTGTGCAGTTCCCGTTTTCCCAGCCATGACATAAATACTTCAAATGAAGTTTGCAGACTGCATTTATTGCAAAGGAACAGCTTTTTTTTTTCTTCTTTTAAGTAGGCCCCATGCCCAATGTGCAACTTGAACTTGTGACCCTGAAATCAAGAGTTGCATGCTTTACCGACAGAACCTGCCAAGCACCCAAACAAAGGAACAGTTTTTAGTTTAGTTTTGTTTTGTTTTTATTTCAATGCAGGAAAGAAACATGGCTACATTTTGAAGAACTGGGATCCGTCCTCAGAAACGGTGAGTTTTTAAATTTAGAAAATGCCTTGTAAATTAATTCTACATTTGGAAGTGAATAGAATATCTTTGTAAAGACTCTAAAGACATTTAATTGAAATGATTAGTATCTAAGATGTACTGAAGTGTATGCAAAATATCATCAAAATAATTTTGCAACTTTGGTGGTAAAATCAGGATATACTATTTAAAATGTGTGGTTTTATATTTTATATGAGATAATATATGAAAATTTCTTAGTTATCGAATACAATTCTTGTTACAACTTTTACATTAAAAAAATCCTACATGCAGCACTGTAATAATCATGAAATAATGATAAGTGGGTGTAAGTCTGGGCAATTTTAAAACACTATTTGGATTTCTAGAAAATGAGACAACTGTGGGATGAGAAAAATAAAGACCTCATCTCTTTGAGTCTCATTTCTAATTAATTTCCAAGAAAAAAAATATCAGAATACTATTTTCCAAAAGTATTCCTGCAAAAGAAAGAGAGAAAAATAATTCAAGAATTAGGAAAATGGATTGTACAGTTAGTTTTCACCATCGTAGATGCTATTTCAGTAAATTCTAGAATTCAATCTGTGATTAGTGCAATCACTATGTGATATATATATATACACACACAATACCTTGGTGCTAATTTGCCAGTATTCTCTTATATTTCCCATTACAGAGTCATGGGGCAGTCAGGAAATTTCTTATGGAGAAAACAATTTTTGACAAACCAAATAGCTCTGGCATTTCCAGAATCACTGATGTGGAAACATAGGGAACAGTGGTTCCTAAACTGCTGGTATCCTTGATATCCTTTTACCTTTTTACGTCTGTTTCTTTATCGAAGAGGAGACCTTTGAGACAGAGGCTCAGTGGGTAAATTCATTCCACAAGCATACCTTTAGCTTGGACCCTAGGCAATATTTTAAAAATCCAGCATTCAACAATGTAAAATTCACAGTATCTGAGATCTGATCAGGAATTATAAGGTATGCAATAAACTAGGAAAATATAATCCGTGGCTGGGAGAAAATCAATAAAAACAGATCCAGGCACGAAAAATATGATGGAATTAACCAAAAAGAATCTTAAAAATCTGTTAGAATATTAAAAATATGGTCAAGAACATAAAAGCATGAACTTGAGAATGTCTCCTTAAATTTTGAGCCCTCAGTACCTCCCCTGTATCATCTTCAAGGAGAGAAGTAGATGATACAAAAAAAGACCCAAATGTAACTTGTAAAAGTGAAAACTACAATATTTGAGATTTAAAATACACTAAATAGGACTGACAGCAAATTAGATACTGAAGAAGAAAAGATGCAGTATTTTGTACCAAGTTCTAAAAGCATTTGCCTCAGTAATTTTATATATATAATGTTAAATTTATCCTTAGCGTTTGTACAAGTTTTACATATTTGTGTCAACATTGTCTTTTTAAATTTGTAATATACTAGAAAGTAGAGACAGGTATGTCAAATACAAGAAAGATCTCCCAAAGGTTGCAATACAAATATGAAGAAAGTTTTAATTCTAGAGGTATTGATTTAGAATACCTTTTCTTTTTCTTGTTAAAGAAAAGTGAAAGCATGTCCTTAACTCTTTGAAGTCATCATTAAGAGAGAACTTATTTCTTGCAGACGAATTTGGGGTTGGATGTGTAGTTATGGTGTTAAATCATATCATTATAACTTCAGCTATACTAAGATGATCAGTGTTTTCCTGCTTCAGAGGTATAGGGGAGTGGAATTTTGAAAGTTCTTTTGAATTAGGGACATAAGGTTGACTGCATATATTGATGCCATTCGGTTGAAAACAAAGCCAAACAAGTCGAACTTTTCCCTTAATTCAAAGGCACTGCTTTTCATATTGATAGTGAGCATTCTCTTTGCAGCAGACTGAACACAAGGGAGAGTTAAGAGGTGAATAACTCACTTTAAGCCTTTTCATACCGACATTGCTTCTGATAGCTTTGCCTTCAACAGAATATATGGTGTGGTTCTTTCTACATTGCTGAAGTAGGCAACAGCATTTTAAGCCACCACTTCTAAAGTTATCTGACAGCACCTCTAGCTTTGGAATTTTGGAAGTCCATGAGGTATGGCAATAACTGTATTTATCAATGACCTCCAAAATAATGCTTTTGATACAAGTACAGTGTGGTTGACATTTGTGTTTTGCAACTAAAGGCATAATAAAAACACAAGGAATTCTTACCACATTTAGCAAAAACTAGCATTGCTTTGAATTAAAAATGAGAGGACAAGAACAGCCACATCCTGTATGCGAGCATTTTAAGTCTACTGCTCAATTAGGATGACTGGGATGATTTTTTTTTTTTTTAAAGTAATGTGGCTGTATATTAAAAGCTCTTGCGGGGAGCCTGGGTGGCTCAGATGGTTGAGCGACTACCTTCAGCTCCGGTCATGATCCCAGGGTCCTAGGATCAGAGCCCCACATCCGGCTCCCTGCTCCGCGGGAAGTCTGCTTCTCCCTCTCCCACTCCCCCTGCTGGTGTTCTCTCTCTCTCTCTCTCTCTCTGTCTCTCTGTCTCTCTGTCAATTAAATAAATAAATAAAAACTTGAAAAAAAAAAAAGCTCTTGCAAGTGTTAATTCTTTGGTAAACGACACTGATTACTTTAATAATAACTTGTGTGCCAGAATTTAATTATGTAATTTATGAATCTTAAAGAAAACCATCTTTGACAAGAAAGAAGAAAATTGAGATAATCAAAAGGTGAGAGGAGTGCTATTTGTTATTTGTAAAAGCACACAGAATAGAGAATACATTCTTTTTTGATATTTGCTGAAGCTTGGAGGCCGTAGGCAACCAAGGTGCCACTGAATGTTAGATGTGCTTTCTCACTGGCAATGGCATAGAGTTATGCCATGAGTTGATGTCTTAGGGGAAAAAAGTCCAAAATTCGAGTTGCTAACTTCAACATCTCCAATTAACCCATTCTCTTCAGTACAGTCAGCCTCTCCATGTCAACCTTAGCTAATACTTAGTCTTTTCTTTTTCTTCCAGTGATGGTAGTGGTCGTGGTGGGGGGGCGGGGAGGGGTTGGGAGTTCTATTCCTTTCTGTTTTTTATTTGTTTGTTTGCTTGGTTTTTGCCATCTCTCAGCCAGATATGTTGTCTTAGAAGACTCTCCTCTGCTTTCCTCTTATCATGCTCTTTTTCTGTCTCTATTAAGAATATGGAGGGGTGCCTGGGTGGCTCAGTTGGTTAAGCGTCTGCCTTCGGCTCAGGTCATGATCCTGGAGTCCGGGGATCGAGTCTCGCATCGGGCTACCTGCTCAGCAGGGAGTCTGCTTCTCCCTCTCCCGCTCCCCCCTCTTGTGCTATCTCTCTCTCTCTCACTCTCTCTCTCAAATAAATAAATAAAATCTTAAAAAAAAAAAGAATATGGAAGGATTATCCCACTGGAGAGAATACCTAAAACTGGATTCTCTGCAAATGGGCCTCCATACTAAGCAGTCAAAGATATATGTAGCCAATGAAAAGTCATTAGAAGTCTGAACTTCTGGAACTCTGACATATGAAGAGAAAGAGAAAAAAGGGAGGGAGACAAATTGGTGATTTTTGATTTTACTTATTATCCCCATGAATGCCGAGTCTTCTGCAAGATACATTTCCTTAAAATCTTATTTTATTAGGGTTAAAGAACTTGCTAAAGTAAAAGGAATTTTTTATAAATTGATTTATTTAGATTCAAACCAGTTTTCAGTCTAATTCATTTAGCTAATATGGACTTATTTTGAAACCTGACTGCACTGAATCTAAATTTATGTAAATCATGTCATTGTGCACTTTCTGGGGTAGGAGGCCTGGAGTATGCTGTATACTGTTTTGTATGTATTAATGATATTTATTATTCATTCTTCCCAATTGCCCTAGAAGACATAATAGTGTTACTGTCTACGTGGTTTCTTTAACAGAGAAATTACAGCTAACTAATTTTCATAAAGTTACCTATCATATAACCGATTTGTTGCAGAACAATAACCCTTGCCGGTGACTGCCAGGACCAGTCAGTTGCTGCACTGCCTCTCTAAGACACAGAGAAAAATAAGGCTCCATCCCAATATTTTCAGAAGTAAGTTAATGAGAAATTAATGTAACTTGCCTTGAAGTGCTTTTAAAAATTATTGTTATACACTAAGAAAAAAGAGTGCTACTATCCCCCTAATAATAAGACAACTCATTGAAAAAGTCTGCACTTTTACCTTTTTACACTTGCATGTTAAATTATTTGAATATGCTGAACATTATGTATAACTCCAATAACTAGATTTCTTTTCCTTTGGCCAATAACATAAAAAGGTAATAATGGCCGTTTATTACCAAATATTCTAATGCATGCAGTAGATTTAACTGTATGATTACTTACCATCATGATAGTCATATAAATTGTCAAAATAGGCACTTTTGAACACTTACCTTTTAAAGTGTAAAAGAAGAAATTCAAGATATTACATTTAGTCAATCATTATGTAAAATTCCAAAAAAACAAATAACTAATTTAAAAGGTGAACCAAAACATCTGTCTGTTATCCATTTCATCAGCTTATTTTTTCAAAATACACTCAAATTAAAAACATTACAAATACAATGATTTTGATACACACAGTTCACCAGTCTTCCTCCCCCAAATATTAAATTTTTAATCATAAGATAAAGTCAATTATTATCCAGATAATTCATTTTGCAAATGAAAAAAATATCAGCAAGATCCGATTCCTGTCTGATTTTGCATCTCTCTTTCAAATCATCATCTGTATAGGTATATTCCAGTTCCTAATAGGATTAAAAGAATAGAAGGAATTCAAGGTGAAACTGAATGATGCAACACCTTTCTCATTTTTCCTTCCTCCAACTCCTGATAGAGAATTTTTAACTCTCTAGAAGCAATAATGCAGGCAACCAGCTAACCAACCAGCATATTTTACGATAGTTAGTGAATACCTTGGGGGGATTTTGAAGCCCCCAGTATTTTGCATGAGTTTCAAAGATAATTCACTATGCTTTCCAAAATAACAAAAATCATAATCAAATTTAAATTTTCAAAAAAATTATCCATTGTATTTGAATTTCTGGTTTGAAAAAGAAGAGTAATGTGAGGAAAAAAATTATGAAAATTTAGGAGATAATATACAAAGAATTTGGAAGACCTGTCCTCCGAAATGACTATTACAAAGTAAAAGGCATTCCTAAATTTGAAGGAAAAAATTAATTATTAATCAAATTTATGACTATTAGATTACTAGAATATTTATCATTTTCCCTCTGAAATACAGGAATAAGTATCACATTCAAAATGTATGATTCAATGGAAAGAGTCTATTTTAGGTTGGCATTCATACCTGAAATTAAAATAAAGCTAAGTGTCTTTACTAATGTTAACAGATTTTTAATTAAACATTAGCACAAAATGAAATGAACTATCTCTACTCTTTATCAGACTGACACTTAATACCTAATTCAAGTATCCCCAGCTTTCTTTGCTTGGAGACTTCAATTCTAAGAATTTTTTCTCCCGTAGTAAAAGCAGCAGTCTTACCTACACAATCGTTTCATGAGATAATAGGCCTGCATTCTTCCATATCTAATTTTGAAATAATGGACAAATACCTTGATCTTGTTAGAGACTATTTATAATTTACATGGTACAGTTTTTTTTTTTAAATACACAAATGGAAAGAAATGAAGAAATGTTAACAATTAGTAATGCCTTATAAAAATAGTTGGTGAACCCTGGCCTGTGGCCCACTATTTTTGAAAATCAAGTTTTATTGGAATTCAGCCATGCCCTTTCATTTATATGTTATCTATGGCCACTTTCATGCTTCAATGGCAGAGTTGAGTAGTTGTGACAGAGAATGTATGACCCATAAACCCTAAAATATTTACTATCTCACCCTTAACAGAAAATGTTGCAGGCTCCTGGCTTAGAAAAACTAAGTCTCAGTTCTTAACCTTAAAATTAAAATTTTCACTCTATTCACTCCTGTAGATAAAATACTAATGAGGCATTTTCACATAAGCACTCTTTTTAATTAGGTCATAGTTTAAGAAAAACAAAAAACAAAAAACAAACCACAAGTCATTTTCATCCTCTGTGGGACAGACTTCTCTCACAGAGTTTGTATTTGGAAGGTGCCTTATGGAAAAACTGTTCATTTTTTTTTTTTAAAGTGGATTTCAATGTTAGGTGATTTGTAGCATGTTTATATTCAATCCCAAACTACTTAAAACTGTGGAAACAGTACCATCGCGGGAACACCTGAAAACAAAATGCACTTAGACACATTAAGTTTCCTGCAGTGTATTACAAGTTCCTCTAGAGTGTACTTAGAATAAGAGTAAGTAACCTGTTCTTTCCCAGAGAAAAGAACTCTTCTGTTCTTGGTCCTTTGTCTCCTGTGCTTCCTTATGTTTTTTTACAGGGTGATTTTTGTCATTGTTTCTCAATCTCTCCAAATCTATTCCTTCCTTTCAACCTCACCAGCTGGAACCATTATAATTTCTATTTTATGGATGGAGAAACTGAGGCCTGTGGAATTCATGAAAGGCTAGCTGGAGATCCCAATATGAGTAAGTAAGAGGAACGAGTTTCTTTTGACTTAAAATTTTGCACTCTTTCAAATAAAAAGCCTGCAAGTGCTGTAATGATCCATCTTCCTTTTGTGTGTATTATGCTTTACTTTCTAGTCTATTTATCATTGTCTGATGTATTTTACAGATTTATTACTTTCATTCTAATAATGCTTGTTAATCAATGCTCCCTACTGAGTTTTGATACCAGGTCACACCCCCTTGAATGGCTTTTGTTCCTGTAATTGTTCAGCTCTGAATCATCTTAAACACAGATAAAAGCAATGAGGTCTACTGGACAACTTTGATTCAAATAAAAGAATCAAAGCTAGTTCTATGATCAAATCTGATGATCCTGGGCTGCTTCTGGAGTCTCCAAAATTTGGCAATATTTTCACTTTATTTTTTTTATTATGTTATGTTAATCACCATATATCACATCATTAGTTTTTGATGTATTTTCACTTTATTGGACCAACTTACAGAACCTCTTGAAGCTACTGCTGGTTGTCAGACCTTGTGACAATGTGTCATACGTACATAGGTCTCAGCAGAGTTTCTGAAGCTTTGTATATGGAGGCCTTAAAGAATTCTTTTCCAAATTGACCTGCATTCCAGGAACTAAGTTGTAGTAACTCATAGTAGCAATTATTCATGCTACGCAATGTTTTCATACTCCATAGATACCTCAATAGAAATGCATGTCAAACATGATATCCCAACTGGTATAGGAACAAAAACCCTAAACTCTGAGTCAGATGACATTAATTCTCTATTTCTAGCTAGCTGTATATATGTGAGTAACATTTCTGTGCTTCAGTTTTCTCACATGAAAAGAAGTGTAAATGAAATCAGATGTTATCATATGTCTCTAACTTTCTGGTATTCATTGCCCTACAACAGTTCTTTTGTAGAAACTTTTCTTCAGTTTCTACCCAGTGTGAGCTTTTCTTCCCACAAGGTCTCCCTGAATAAAAAAGCACAGTTCTTAAGGAAGACTTAATAACATCTTTCCACTTCAAAGTTTACTTTGGTTGTGTAAGAAGTTTAAAATATCTGGAAATTATTTTTTTGGAAGATGGTCTATCAAAAACTGGTCACTTTTTAAAATGTCTACTTAACACTAAAGCAAAATCCAAAAAACCAATCCTGGTTTAGAGAGGTCAAAATGGAAATTTGTGATAAAATAAATTAGCAATCCAGTAAAATTACTTTTTTATAATCGTAAGTATTCTGGAATGAAATTGAACTCTTGTACAATTGCTAACATTTGGGCCAACTGAAATATTGTTTTTATGGAAAATATGCCTGCATATCAGTACCCTAACTGCTTCAATGTTTTATGTCATTTGTTGTAAGCAACAATAATAACCATATGTGTTATTCAACATTTAGTATTGGTTATATCATTTATATGCATAATTATATTTCGTCTTGAATTCTTATGATAGCTCTATGAGTAGCAAATAGTATAACACTTAATAAGAAAACAGAAAAAAAAGTTAAGCAACTTGCTCTGGACTGAAAACTTTTTTTTTTTTTTTTTTTAACCAAGAACCTTGGGAATTGAGTCTCAGTGTAAAGACTCAAATTGTCAATCAGGGAGTAACTGATTAAATGAATTATCCATTAATTGGCCCAGAATTCCAGTATTGTTAAGATAATATGAAACTACATCACTGACATGGAATGATGTCTATCTATGATATATTTATATAATTTTAGGCAAAAAGCAGCGTAAGATATTATGTTTAGTATATACCTGTAAAAAATCTAGTTGTGTGTTGTGCATGTGTGTGCACTTCACAGCATGGGAAGATAGACAGGTTACGATCCCTTGTTAAAAATCCTTGCACTCAGACATGTTTTGTAATCCCTAACTCTTTCATATTTCAGAATGACATTTTGTTGTACATGTCATGTATTACCCATCCCAGCAGGGAATGGTACAATACCTCAAATTTAAACACCTTAATATTTCTTCAATAAAAAATGTTCATATTAACACTAAGTGGAACAAGTAAAGGTTAAAAATAGTCTTAGATCAGTTCAGGTCCTAGAAGGGACTGTGGATCCGAACAACAAAAGGTTAGCAATAGCCCCCTCTGAGTACTGAATTATAAGCAATTTTATAACTTTTTAAATGCAAATTTCTCTATTTTCAGTCCACAAATATGTAACAAGTTCTTATGATACACCAGGTGCTGCTTTAGGTATGGATTTTCAGCAGAGGTTTTGCAGTAAAAATTCTTCTTAAAATGCAAAATGACTATAAACATGACTATAGTGACTATAAATAAATAAAAACATAATCATTTAATTTTGGGAAAAAAAGAGAGAAACTCAAAGATGCATATACTGCACAAAAAAATCTGAAATTATTTTAATACAAAAACTTGGATTTTTTGCATATAAGAGTTTTATAAGAGTTGTTGTTATTCCCAACAGTAAAATCTCTTCTAGGGAAACTATTGATTTGGTGAAAATCAAATAGGAAAGAGGTAACTGGCCTTGCAGTCAAATGTAGCCAATTCATCCCTGGGGGCTGACTACAAGTTCAATGTTAGAGTAGTTGAAATCCAAAAGGCAATAGACTAGCAGTGCCTGAATCTCAACTACACAGGTCTAGAAGCACAGTCTCAGTGGAGCAGCTTCATCTTTAGAATACCTGTCATGGAGCACAAAAACCAAGGGTCCAAAAATCTCATATATTTATCTTTCCATTGCCCTTAAAAAACTCTTCTTTATAGATTACTTAATTCCATGTTTTTTTTTAATATTATGTGCCCTGCTTATACGTACATTAGGCACATTTTTGTATGAATATAAAACACAAAGTAGATAATTTTTCCCAAAAAGAAGTGAAAAAATGGAAGAATTTTTCCCTTTTCTGATAGCCTGCTTTCTCCTTCCTTCTTTTAAGAACGGAATCAGGTTGTCATATATAGTTTGAAAAAATAGGTTTTTTCCTGTCTCTGAAGGACCATGAGTTTATTCAAGCAGAGTTAGGTAGTTTATAAAAGCTATCCACATAATATAAAAAAAACAAAGTATAAAGCTCTTCCTGTAGCCTAATTTGATTTAAAGTTCCCGATACCCCTTTTCTTAAGAGGACAGAACATCACAATATGAAACAGTGCACCGAGTAGCATAGTACATAAATAGCTCAGGCTGAAAGCATAACAATAAGCTCTCCGTCTATTATTGCAGAACCAATAAGTAAGCATAATGAAAATTATGACACATTATTACATTACTCTGTATTGCCTCTATTCATTTAAAAAAAAGATGAGTGCATTTAAAATAATTTCACATGTCAAATGACAGTAAACCTTCCAATTGAGAGGATATTGAAAGGAATATTTGTAAAGAGCGGATGCATGGTCTTATGTGGCTTATATCAAGATTACAATAGAAGCAGGGAGAGTCTGAGATGTAACTGCTTCATTCCAAACTGGTAGTAACATAGTATCCCAAACAGTTACATCATTCACCTGCGCTATGTGTGTTCTGATATTACGCAGTCAATAAAAAACACATTAAAAAGATTTAGAAAAGACTTCCCTGTCAATCAGCCCTTGGATGGATTCTACTTTTTCAGTTTCCCTGTTGATTTAATATACTAGATGGTATTAGCAGCACTGGCTTGTAAACAAGGAAGATCTGAATCCTATTAATGGAGATACGCTGCCAAAATAATCAGTTTCCTACTTAACAAGTTTCCAAGTATTTGGAAAAGCTGTGAAATGGGATTATAAGGTTAAGCTGTGTACATCTGTCTCATCACTATATAAATATTTCAGAAATTTGATCTCATAGGCGAAGAAACACCTGTCTAATCATGACTCGTTTCCAAGTTACATGAACTTCAGTGAGCGTAGCAATACACAAATGCTGACAGAAATGATGATCAATTTACATAATGTATTTCTTGTGTTAGGTGTATAATTTTATCATATATCACTCTTCTGAGTGAAGACAAGAAATATTTGGGGAAGATTCTGTGGCATCCTATTACGTTGGCAAAAAAGGATTGAGGGAGGTGCAAAAATTTTTAAAATTCAGGATAACCACCTAAAGTACTAAATATTGCTTTTTTTTTCCTTGTGCCATGGTATATAACTTTAGAGTAATTGGATGTTGTAAGTATAAAGTAGTATAATATGGACTCAGAGAATAATTAATGAAAGGCAAGAGTTCGTGCATAAAATAACAGTAAAAAGTTCAGCAGTCCCTCTAGTTAATCGAAACCTTAATGAATTTGAACATCAGTTGCTTTAACCAGATCCAGGATTAAATAACTATGCTGACTCTTTGTCAAATATACACCAGCCCATTAGGCCTGATTTTATGTTTTCAAATTTTGTTCAAAAACGTAATTGGGTTAAAAATGTACCAAATATGGCTCTTATCAAATTAACTTCAAATGTCCAACTTGAAAACATAGATTTTGAAACTGTGGTCCAAAATGGCAGCTAAAGGTCAATGAATCAAATTTCCAATTATATTTCCTGGGAGCAGATGGGTGCAATGAAACCTAATGATTGAATTTTAAATGCTTTCATGCACCTTTTATCTGTTTCCCAACATGTTGATTCTACCTTAATGCTCTAAACAAGATAATGGGTTTATTACAATTAACCAACTGAAATGATATCTCCATTTTCCAATTATTTATATCATATTACCTGGGGATATTGAATCAGAGCTCCTTTCCTCTCCTACCCCTAGTGCCTTTCCATCACCATCCTACATTTACACCAAACAAAACCCAAACTCTAATATCATTAAATAACAGATGTGTCCTGGGAGATCTGACTTCTCTAGTTAAATGATGAGTACTTAAAATGAAGCCCAAGTTCACTGAGGCTTATTAGGAAAATTGTAATGAAAATACTTCAAAGGTATTTGTTGAGTAAGTTTAACTATAAATTTCCTTTCCTTATGTTATAAACTGATACATTAGTCTGTTTCTCTGACCTGCATAAGCTTAATATATAAAGAAGGTTTATCAAGTGGTTAAAAAATTGTATGTTCTAGGGGCACCTGGCTGGCTCAGTTGGTACAGCGTTAAACTCTTGATCTCAGGGTTGTGAGTTCAAGCCCCAAGTTGGGCATAGAGTTTACTTCAAAAAAAAAAAAAAATTAAATGTTCTGTTTTAGGAACAGCAAGTGGAGGATTTTATCTCTACTATATCTCAGTAGAGCACATCCCTGCCCAAAGAATAAAAGGAAGGAATTATGCAATTTATTGCTTTTATATAAAAGAAATCAATATGTTATCTCTTAAAGTCTAGATGAAAGGAAATCCAAAAAGCTTTTTATTTTAACTAATAAACAAAAGTTTCTCATCATTTAAATGCATTTTCATAATGCTAAACATAATATTATTTAATCCAACCCTTCTCAAATTCAATCCACCCCTCTATAGCTCTACTATAGGAATCAAATATAGGCATCTGAGGTCTGAATGTACATATAGTTAAACACAGCTTAAGGTGATAAAAAACAGTATCTGAGTTCTTTAAAAGTATTTACATTAGATGTAAATGTACAATGTTCTTAAAGTATCCCTGTAAAAATATATTTTCTGAATGGGTATCACAGAAAAGAGACCAGATGAAAAGAATAAGAAGAAAACAATCAGAACAAGTCAGCATAAGACATAAATAATAATTCCCTTCCTTTTGTTTCAAACTATGTGTTTTGATGATAATTTTCAAATATCTAAACAGCTTTTTGAAATTTCTAAACAAATAATATATTTTCAGATTTTATGGCTTTATGTGAAGACTAATATAAATGCACAAAACCTGGTATATTTATTGGACATTCACATTTTTTCCAACATTGTTTAGAAGTCATATTTCCAGTAGATTTCTAAGCTATATTTTTTAAAAGAAAGCATGTATGATAGTTCAAGAAAAGCACATTCAGAGAAATGAGTAAAATTCAGACAGATTATGGACGATTACAGGCCTAGTTTCTGATCTTCTGAGAGGGTATCTGCTCCCAGTACTCAGGCTTCTCTTAGTGACAGGAAAGCAAGACCAGCCTGGCATCCTCTGGAGAGAGC